CAAGTATCACCAGAGCATCCTAATCCACTGTTGCTCTCTGTAACCCCAGCAGCTCTCTAGAGCTGCTACATCTCAAGGAATGCAGGCATGCCTTTAATTCCAGCTTGGGAGCCAGAGATAGGCAATCAGTGAGTCCAAAGTCAGCCTGGTCTACGGAACGAGTTTCAGGACAGCCAGGGCTACACAGAGGGATCATGCAGCTGCCATGCCCTGGCCAAAAACCTGTGAGTGGCTTCCCACCACACATAGCATGCTCTCTTCTGGCATGAGCCACTCTTCTGTCCTCCAGCAAGCAGGTCTAGTGTACTCTGATGCCAGGGTCTGAACTAGAGTCCTCTGCAAAAGGTCCAAGGCAGAGCTAGAGATGGCTCAGTGGCTAAACACTGGCTGCTTCTTCCAAGGGACTCGAGTTTGATTCCCAGCACACAAATGGTGGCTCACAACCATCTGTAAGTCCAGTCCCCAGGAGATCCAGCACCCTCTTCTGGCCACCAGGGCACCAGGCATGCATATGGTCCACACACATATTGCAGACAAGGCATCCATATACATTAAAACAAACAAAATGAAAAGGTGCCAAGGTACTGAGGTTGTGCCTGGTATTCAGAACTCCTAACCGGCTCATCCTGCGCTCTGAGTATGCCTGTCTGCAGACATTACTGGTTCCCGCCTCCCTGTGGGATGGAGGTTTAGGATGTAGGACCTTGTCAGAGCCTGACCCCTCTCCATGGGTCTTTCTGAGATCTGGGGAGCACCGCCTCCTTAGTCTCACTGCCAGTCACTCAGAGAGGACCAGTGTACCCTCCCTTGCCCCTTATCACTGGGACGATCTAGCTTAATTGGTAGCAAGACAGCCCTCAGGCTCCTGGTGGTCACGCCCCAGCCTGGAGCTGGGGAGGTTCTCACTCACCTTCTACCTTCATGATCTGGTATGTGTCCTGGACCACCTTGTACTTGGGCTCGTTCCGGAAGGCATGTGCCCAGGCCTGGATCAGGTAGAGGATCTTGTTCCGAACATTAACTTCCACTTGCCTCTGTAGAGCAAGAAAGGAAGTGGGGAGGGCTTCAGGAGACTCGGGGTGTCTGAGGTCTCAGGGGGAAGAGCCTGAGTGGAGACAATTGGCACAAAGGCCAGGGAGAGTCTCTGGATGGTGACAGGCCCTAGTGTAATCTCAGGAGCAATCCGGAAGCTGCATTGCTTCATGCTCCTCATCTACAACCATGCCTCCTTCTGCAGGTGTCTGGGGGACCTTGGCCAGTGACACAGCTCTCTGGAGCCCACAACCATTACTAACACCTAAGGCCTCCAATGGCCTCCAAAAGGCACTAGGCAGGACATGAAGCATCGATGGCCTTGAACTTTAGGGTACAGACACTATGGACTCTGATCTCCCCCTGCCATAGTCTGAGAGATACCCTCTCCAGATGTCTCTCCACAGAAGGCTCAGGCCCTATGAGCCACAGCACAGCCTCACTCTTGGTACTCTCGAACGGATGCCACAACACCTTATGCTGGTGACACAGGATGCAGGGATGGCTGTATGGCAACCGACCCAAGTGTGCTGACCCGAGAGCAGGAAGGTCTCCTGGTGCACTGCCCTCCTCCAGCTATGCGTGTGACAACCGGCCAAGGTCTCATTCAGGCCCCAAAGAGGACACAGCTAACAGTGCAGAGCCTACGATAGGTTTTTGGCAGCATGGGCTGAGGGTGGAGCTTCCTGTGACACCAAAGCCCGATGCTGTGTCATGTGAGAGCCTCACTTTGCCCAACCCACCAGCCCAGCAGCATCACCATCCACATCAGAACCCCTTTGGTGGTCCTGGGGACAAATGCACACCACACGAATCCTGATCTCTTCCTCTTCTGCTGGAAGGTGTGAACTCCACCCTCCCTGGGGCGGATCCTTGCTCTCCTGACTCTACCACAGACACACCTAAACTTTAACTTCTGTACCTTCACTGCTCAGATCTCTCCCACCCCAGGATAGGTGGACACTCCATGACCTTGGCCCCATGCTTCTGAAGCCTTCCCAAGCCCAAGAAGAACAGTGTCTTCCTGTCTTCCTCACGCAAATGACCCTGGGGCAGTCTCTCCCGGGCAGAGGCTGGGCTCACAGAGCACTCACAGGGACCACCGCTGTTCCTCGCCTTCTCTTTCACGCTCACACACTCTTGCTGTCGGGCCACACACTCTTAGCAGAGTTGGCTCCGCGCCTCACTCGGCTACGACACCCACCTTCAGCAGCTCCTTCAGCTCTTCCATGGTCTGCTTGTTGGCCACTTCATCGTGCACTGTCTGGCCACAGTTCTTTACCACAGACTCCATCACCTGAAAGCATCGCCCAAGGAAGGGAAAGGCCTTCAATCCATTAGAAGCCGTCCCAGGCCCCAGGCCCTGATGACGTCTTGTGGTCAAAGGTGACTGCCTTTGGACGACAGCTAGAGAACCCTGTGCCCGCAAGAGTGACCAAGCTCAATGGCACTGCTCACGGCTGTCCTTCGTGCTACAGGGATTCCACAGGGTGCCATGTGCCCCAGGAGGAAAGCATCTCCGTGTGGAGACTGAGACTGTGCAGCAGGGTTCTACTTACCTCCAGAGCATACAAAGCCACATGTGGGTTCTTGTCATTGACCTTCTTCTTGATGGAATTTACAGCGTATTTCGCTCTGAGAGGGGGAAAAAGCATTAGTAACAGCAGACGCAGGAAAGGAGGGGGGCATCTCGGTAAGGGGAGGAGAGCTCTCCACCCTCTTTACTTGTTTTTTGAGACGGGTGTCATGTAGCCCAGGCTGGCCTCCACTCAATGTGTAGCTAAGGGAGACTTTGGACTTCCTGCCTTCTCTTCCCAAGTGCTGTGACTACAGGCAGAGCCATCATGCCTGGTTTATGCTGAGTTGGGGATGAAACCCAAGGCTTCACACATGCTAGGCAAATACTCTACTAACTGAACTATATGCCCAGCCTTCCGCACACCATCTTGGTCCTTCAGACCTCTAAGTATCTCCAAACTATACAGCTTTAATTCTACCAAGATACCAAACACTCAGGATGTAGACCAGGCGATTGTCCACATAAATAACTCTTGGGATCACTTTCATCTTGGAAGAGGAGTGAGCATCCCTTGCTTTACAGGACAGGCCCTCCTCACTTACTGTGTGTCCCCTTGACGGATCAGGTCACAGATCTGTAGAATGGACTCCCAGTCCGTCTCCAATAGAAGCTGGCTGGTGGCTTTGTCTAAAGGAGAAAGATGTCTGTCACTCAAGGGGCCCATTGTACTGTGTTTTCTAGGAAGTTCCCAGGTTAGCAATTTACCTCTTTTTTTTTTTTTTTTTTTTTTTTTTTTTAGACAGGATTTCCTCTGTGTAGCTTTGTAGACCAAGCTGGCCTGGAACTCACAGAGATCTTCCTGCCTCTGCCTCCAGGGTGCAGGGATCAAAGAAAGGCATGCACCACCAAGGCCCGGCTAATTTCCCTCTTTTTAAACAGTTGAACTGAACAGAAAATGCTCTTGAAGCACATTGACAACCGTGGAAATGGCACCCTCCCATGCATGAGGCGAACCATGTGAGGATAATGGAGAATAATGGCTGTTGTTTGTGCCTGTTCCATATCGGCAGTAATTCAAACTCTGAACTCACTCAGGTCCCACAGGACCTCATGAGGCGGGCGCTACGTCCATCCCCTTTAGAGCTAAAGTCGAGGGAAGTGAATGGCCTGCATCACAGCTTGCTGGACGCTCCGAAGCACCCTGCACTGCTGCTTCTCAACAGCGGACCTGACCCTCAGAGTCCCATCATCATCACCTGACCCTCAGAGTCCCATCATCTAGATGCTTTGTCCTTTTATAGCCTGGCAAGTGCTAGAGAGATGAACGACCATGACTTCTCCTCCTCAAGTGGAGGGGGCGAAATGAACCTCCAAGGATTCCCCAGCTAACGCTCTTCACAACCTTAGCACCCCCCTTCCACAAGAATGAGCCATCCCAAGACACACCAACTTCGTTCCGATTCAGCAGAGTACTGGATCCATACCAGAAGTAGAGTAAGGAAAATGCCTCACCTACGATCCTCTCTGAAAATCTTAGTTCAGAAAGAAGCAAGTGAGCAGGCTACTGCGGTGTGGCGGCACCCTGGCGCTTGCTCCCGAACACAGGACATTTTTTATTGAGGAAAATAGGCTGCGTGGCAAAGCCGTTTTCCCTCCTAAAATTTACACTCTCCAGAAGGCTCAAGCAGGATCAACAAGCACCTCCAGCAATGAGAGAAAACGTCTTCCAAAACCCGGGGACAGTTCCAGAGCCCAAGGGATGAAGGGCGGGGCGGGGGCTGGGGTCCTGGGAAGCCGTCTCCAAGGGGCCCAAAAGGTTTAAGGACGACAGTACCGATCCCACACCCTTCCAGCAGGTATTAGGGTCAGTCGACCCGCGTGAAGCTAAGATCTGAGTCATACACTTCATGACTCAGGACTTGGGCCCAATCGGTGCAGGTCAGGGCCGCCGGACCCGGAGGGAGCGAGGTCCACCGCGGACTGCCAAAGAGATTCCTCACCGGGCCCCGGGACGCGCTGCACAGCCCCGGCGGCCACACCCGAGGCCCGGGGACGGTGTCGCGCTCCCGGGAGGCCGGCGGCGGCCGGGCAGAGCGGCGGGCCCGCTCCCCTGAGACCTATGGAGGCCCGCGTCTGGCGGGTGCGCGAGAGAGCTGACGGCGAGCCGGCGGGCGGACGCGTTACCTAGGAGACGCTCGAAGGTGCCGCTGCCTCGCCCCATGGCGACCCCGCTCCGGACCGACGCCGCGGGCGCTCCCTCTCTCGGAGCTGACGCGCCCCCCGACTTCCGCTTCCGCCTTTCCCCCCACCCCCTGCGCACGCAAGCGCACTTCTCCGCGCCGCCAGGAGACTGGGCCCAAGCGGAGCCTTTGCGCATGCTCACTGACTCTCAGCGACCATTGGGCCGCGCGACTAACCAATGAACACCTTGGCAGAGGTGTTCTATCCAATGAAAGCTCAGCGGAGGCGGGCCTCACGGCGTCGTGGCTCCCAGCTACCGGTGCCCCGTTGGCCGGCACCGGGGATGTGTCTCCTGCTCGGGGCTGCGGGAGTCGGCAAGACCCTGCTGGTGAAACGCCTGCAGAATATCCTTCCGCACCGTGTGGGCGGGACGGGCCCCGGGCAGGGCGGGGGACACACCGGGCTTACTCGGGACGGGGACTGCGCCTCTACCGCGCTCAGGCCCTTGACCGCCCGAACAGCTGAGCTCGGGAGATGGCAAGGGCGACCTGGGGGATCCTCCGCCGACGCGGCCCACGGTAGGTGTCGGCCCCTCTCGGGTCCGACCTGCACGGGTTACCTTTGTGCGACTGGCAAAGCGCATCCGGCTTCCCCGGTTGGAAGCCGCGGTGCCGGTGGTCAGCGGGGTGGGTGGGCACTGCCTTCGGGAGTTCCGACAGTGATCAGCGGAGCCTGCGGAGGCCCCGAAGCCTGCCTTCCCGTGGGCACTTTTCTCTCCCATCCCAAGGGACTTATTTCGCTTTCACCCTCAGGGTGACGCTGCCGCGCAGTCCCAGAGAGCTGCTTTTCTTGGTGGCGAGCTCTGCTGAAGGGCTTGAGCGGTTGTCACTAATTATCGAGGTTTAGCCGTACACATAACTCCCCCCGCCCCCCGTCGCGGAGCTGCCATCCAGGAGTTCGCAACGGTACAGCGTTTACACTGCACTCTGTGCGTCCTGGCCTTCCCCACAGGTGGGCACCAACCTCACTGACATCGTGGCCCACAGGAAGATCACCATCCGAGAGCTCGGGGGTTGCATGAGCCCCATCTGGTCTAGTTACTATGGAAACTGCCATTCGCTCCTGGTGAGTCAGTACTTGAGCTTCTTGTGGGAGCGGTATGTCTGCCTCCCTGAGCCATCAACTACTGGACCCTGCTTGTATGGGATCGGGTTTGGGGTCTTTGATGACTGCGCTTAGGGAAAGGGACTTCGGCTCCATTGCTTGTTCTTAGGCACTGGCCTGAGGTCCTGAGCAGGGCTCAGACTCCAGAAGTACTTGCTGAAGGCACTATATGTTCTAAGCTCTGAATGTGCCCAACATTTCTACACCCCTCTGGTCGGCCCCACCCCCTCAAGGAAGGGGCTCCAAATTCTGGGATGGAGAACTGTATGTACTTAAAAAGACATCAGTGACAAGCCATCCTCATACAGCTTCCTTTTGTTGCCTGTTTACAAAACCTTTTCCTTAAAAGCCACGCTCAGCAGAGTGCTTGCTTGCCTAGCCACACTATCTCCAGCATAAGTGATCATTTTAACTTAAAAAGTTGTGTGTTCCTCCTGAGTCACTTATATGATCCCCAGGGGAAGGGTTTAGGCAGGAAGACCCTGTTAGCCTATGTTTGCTTTTCCCTAGTTTGTGATGGATGCCTCTAACCCCACCCAGCTCTCTGCATCCTGCGTGCAGCTCTTGGGTCTCCTTTCTGCGGAAGAACTTGCAGATGCCTCGGTCCTGATACTCTTCAATAAAATGTATGGGTCTAGGGCTGACAAAGGGCAGGTGTCCCAAGCCTGGAACACGGGATCTGCGTGTGTGTGTGTGTGTGTGTGTGTGTGTGTGTGTGTGTGTGTGTGTGTGTGCAGTGTGTAGGGCAAGTTTATGGCGTTCACCCTCTGATGATGTTGCTTCTTTAACTACAGAGACCTGCCCTGTTACATGACCTTGGAGGAAATAAAGTCATTGATCAGGCTTCCAGACATCATTGCTTGTGCCAAGCAGAGCATTACCACGGCAGAAATAAGTGCCAGGGACGGCACTGGCTTGGGAGCGGTGCTGCTGTGGCTCCAGGAGCAACACCGACAGGGAGGTTGACTGCCAGATGGAGAATTACGGCTGACCCACCCGGTGCCTGGGAGACAAAGAACGGCATGACAGTCTCCAAAGGTCTGTGCTGGTAGCAGACCCACCCGGTGTCTCCCCAAGTGGTTGGGATACATTGTACAGACACTGGTCATTGGCCTCTGAACAGTGCTCCCAGGACTGGGAGAAGACAGACCTCAGGAGGATAAAGTGCTGCTGGGACTCCCTCCTGCTAGGGAACTCTGGACCTGTGCTTGAGGGCTTCAGACTGCACAGCTCCACGGAGCCCACATCTTTTTTGTAGTGTAAGCTCTGCCCTGCTGATGTCCTGACCATGTTCCCCAGGGAAAGTACAATTTTTTTATATTTATAGAATTATTATATTCATTAAATTAATGAAGTGAGTATGAATAAGATCTGTGTCTCAAATGAGAAACGAAATCCAGGCTGGATGTGGTGGTTCAGGCCTGAGGCTTGAGCTACTCAAGAGACCACAGTGGGCGGATCATTAGGGGTTAAAGAACCACCTAGGCAGCATTGGGGGGAAGTTGGGGGTTTGGAGGACCAGGTGTGGGGTGCATTTCCTGAGAGGCACAGGCAGGGGGATCTCTGAGTTCCAGGCTAGTCTGACCTACACAAACACTGTCTCACAAAACAAAAGGACGAGGTTTGACCTCACCAGAAAGGAGACTTCTTTCATTAGTTTGTTCATTCAATGAGCTTTTATTGCTCAGTGGTATGTACAGGGATGTATGAGTTCCCACAGGTGGACAGTAAGAGGAACAGATGGTACACAGAAGGTGGGGACATCCTGGTGGGACTTAGTCAAATTAGCTTGATAGAGATCACTTAGTAAAGCTACCAACAGCCGCCTTTTAGTCCCAGCACTCGGAAGGCAGAGGCAGAAGGATCTCTGAGTTCGAGGCCATCCTGGTCTGCAGAGCTAGTTCCAAGACAGGCTCCAAAGCTTACAGAGAAATCCTGTCTCAAAAAAACAAACAAACAAATAAAATCTGCTGAGAAAAACCTACAGCCAGTTACTAAGATCAAGCTGCCTGATTTTCAACCAGATACAAAATGGGGAGGCCTGCCCCACAGGTATTCTGCCCTTCGTAACATCAACACCCTAATTTCCGTGTGTCAGTACCTAGTCTATACTGATCTAACAGTGGTGTTGGCTCAGCCTAGGTAGCCAATATTTAAAGAGTGCTGCACAGACCAGGTCCGCCCTTGGAGTAGGCAAGAGCTGCCATGTGGTCTTCCACACCTGAAGTGAGAAGGCTCCACACCATCATTAGGTCCACGAGACATTTGACAAGACTTAAGCACAGAGCAGGAAAACAGTCCTTTTGCATCACAGCAGAGCTGGAGTTCAGTAAGTGTATTTAGAGGAAGAGAAGCACCCAAAAGGGGCTGGAGAGATGGCTCAAAGGTCACTGCTTGACCTTCCAGAGGTCCAGAGTTCAATTCCCAGCAACCACATGGTGGCTCACAGGTGTCTATGATGAGATCTAGTGCCCTCTTCTGCAGGCAAACATGCATGGAGACTGTATATGTGATAAATCTTTCTACATAAATAATACCTAAAAGCACGGGTAAGACACACCCAAAGTACACGCTGTGGGCTCTTTACGGGAGAGTGAACGACCCAGAGTGCAGTTCAGTTGGCTACAAAATTGGCCAGTAATGCTTTAACTGCCCAGTCACATTGCTTCTGAAAATAACACAGAAGCCTACAGCTCTAATAACAGTGGCCCTGGGGGCCCTGGCTCTAGTCTGGATGCTTAGTAGCCAGTGCATTCCCAACCTGCTTGCCCCTGGCCCTTGCTACTGTTGTGTGTGTCTACGCACTCAGCCCCAGGCACGCTGACATGCACTGACCAGGGCTGTGAATGAGTCTATCAGAGAACAGTCCCGACTTAAATGAGAGCGAGACATTAGTAAACTTCACCCCAGAAAACACAGATTTGGAAAAGTGAGTAAAAAGCACTTCATGTGGACACCAGGACTGCTTGCTAGATGGAAGCTCTTAGAAGGTCTGCAAGAAGAATGTGCTTCCCCAGCAGGGCCCAAGCCTAGCTCTTTTGATGTCTACATGAGGTTTCCTTTTGTTTTTCAAGACAGGGTTTCTCTGTGTAGCCTTGGCTGTCCTGGAACTCACTCTGTAGACCAGGCTGGCCTCAAACTCCTGTGTCTGCCTCTCGAGTGCTGGGATTAAAGGCGTGCACCACCACTGCCAGGCCTTTTTTTTTTTTTTTTTTTTTTTTAAAGTCTCATGTAGTCAAGACTGGCACAGAACTCCCGATTCTTCTGCCTCTTACCTCTGAGGTACCACACTCGAGGTTGGATAAGTTTAGAATCTACTTTTCACTGCCATCAGCTAGGTCCTCCTTCTTTTGGTACTATGGGAGGCACGCTCGACAGGATTCCATCCCTGGTCCTTTCCAAAGACCTGCCCTATTTCCAGAGGCCTGTTATGATGGAATGGACACGTTCCTACCCTCTTGGTATAACTACTCTGCCCTTCCTACCACCGAACCTGGGTTTATTTATATACCTCAATGCGCTCAGCCAGTACTGACGACAACCCAGCTCTATCCAAGCCAAACGCACTGGGGCTCTGTCTCTTGTACAGACCCCTGCAGGCAAATACGGTGTTGGCTGCCAGCCGGCTGACTGACGCACCTGCCCTGGGTGTATCTGCTCCCCCACTGTCCTGTTAACCTGCTCTGCCCTGTCCCTGCCTTGCATTGCACTGAACCCATGGGAGCCTCTTAAGACAACAGGCTGACCTACTTCAGCTTCAGTGATCAGCTGGACTAAGGGACTGAGAGCTTTCTACAGTGGTCCTGGCTGGCTCAGGGAAACACCAGCCCTCCCATCTGTCTGTGTCTCAGGCAAGTGCTGGGGGAACTTGCCCTGTATGAGATGGAACTCATGCTGGTCACTGTGAAAAAGGGTAAACTTTAAGGGAGGGGGAAAGAAAGGCACCCCACCGCCACAGTGAACGCTTGCGCTCAGCCCCCAATCCAGGGACAAGCATCTGCTGTCTGTCCCCTTTTCAGGCCGGTTTCCAGGGGAACAGACCCCGGGGGCTCTGAATCACAGACGAGTCTGGAACTTTCTCTGAGAAGAGCTGCCAGGTGGCTGTGCAAGTGTCACTTCCTGGCGCTGCTGCTTCTTCAGAGCTCTGTACGCCTGCACAGCCCGTTCTCGCTCTTCCCCCAGGATCCGCTGGCGGGCCAGTGAGGCGGATGGAGTCAGGGACACTCCACCAGTGCCCAAAAGCATCTTTAGCATTAGCGATTTCCTGCCAGGCTAAGGAAAGAGAGAGGGCGGTAGCATAGGCTCAGCTAGGAGAGAAGACGGCAGAGGGCTTCAGCTAGCCCTGCAGCTGACAGCCCTTTAAGGAGGTCCTGGCCCGGGACCTTCTTGTTCCCCAGCAGAAATGGGAACGGCACTGCCGATCCCCACCCCCTCACCCCCTGCATCACTTGGTCCCTGCGTACCGCATCCCTGCTACTGCTCCTCCTGGGCTGGACCGTCAGGTCTGGGGGCTGCAGCGCAACTTCTCCAAACTCCACAGTGTCTGCAAGGGGAGGGAACAGAGGCTGCCGTTCACAGAGCCTGTGTCATTTCCGACTCACCACCGACCCTCCCTTTGAGGGCTTCAGAACCCACTCATCCACTGGCCTCCTAGTGGTGGGCCTGGAAGAGTCTAGAGGTGCCACCAAGGAGGTGTGGGGGAGGAGGGAGGCCTGTGGGGACCACAGCTTCTGTGCCTGCTGCGGGAAGAGCTACCTTTCAGCAACTCCTGCTCCAGCCTGTCCACTGCTCTTGCCTCCTTTTTCTTCTGGGCTTTTTCAAGTCGCCGCTTCTGGAAGCTGGGAAGAAGGCACAGGCTTCTCAGACTCCTTCTAAGCTCCTGTTCCATCTTAGGGGCAGCAGAGGCCAGCCTACCCTCAAGGGCTGCACTCAACAGGCACACCAAGGGTCCCCAGGGAACAATGTCTAGACATTTTAGGTTGCCAAAGGATAGCAAGGATGTGGCTAAGTACCTTACAGTGAGATGGCCACACGGCTGGACCCACGGGCTCACAGTGAGATGGCCACACGGCTGGACCCACGGGCTCACAGTGAGATGGCCACACGGCTGGACCCACAGGCTCACAGTGAGATGGCCACACTGCCGGGACCCACGGGCTCACAGTGAAATGGCCGCACTGCAGGGACCCACGGGCTCACAGTGAGATGGCCACACTGCAGGGACCCACGGGCTCACAGTGAGATGGCCACACTGCAGGGACCCACGGGCTCACAGTGAGATGGCCGCACTGCCGGGACCCACGGGCTCACAGTGAGATGGCCACACTGCAGGGACCCACGGGCTCACAGTGAGATGGCTGCACGGCTGGACCCACGGACTCACAGTGAGATGGCCGCATGGCTGGACCCACAGGCTATCTGCCTGAAACAATGCACTCCACACTGAATGGCAGTTCTGAGACTGGATCAAAAGAGCCTTGCAAAGTACCGTACATGTGACACACCACACCTCTGTGAGCATTTGGAGACCACCGTGGCTTTGGGCTTGGCTTTGGCTCTTGTGATTACAATATTAGGAGGAAGTAGAAAGTAGTATGATCTCTTTGAAAGAATAAAGGGACACCAGTGAAGAGGAAATGTAGGCAATGTAGCCATTCTTGTAGGCCGTCTTTTTGTTTGAGACCCTCTGTGGTCTGAACTCACAGCAGGCCCCCAACTTCATGCTCCCAGAATTATAGGCATGAACCACCGTGCATGGCTGTAATTTCTCTTCAACTTTAATGAAAGCCCAGACTTAGCCAAGAGAGAGAGAAGGAGAGAGACAAGAAGGAGGAGAGGAGGAGAGAGAGAGACAGGGAGAGAGAGGGGGAGAGAGAGAGAGAGAGAGAGAGAGAGAGAGAGAGAGAGCGCACGACCCCAGGTTCAATAAATAAATGTTTTTGCCTGCACACAAGCCAGGGGTAGCCTGAGCAGGAGGTGACCGAGAAGGCTGAAGGAATCTGAGCTTGCGGTGGGCTTCTACTGGTTGGCCACCATCCCTATGAATGACAGAAGAGCAATCTACACACCCGAACATTGTGACAATGGCACTGACCCCTCTTTATAGTCAAGGACGCTGGGCCAAGGAGGTGCAGAATTGCACAAACAAGACAGACAGACTCAAGTCTCTTTCAAACCAAGGGGAACTCGGCGGCAAACTCACTACAGAGCGAGCAGGTCCCGGCCTCCCATGGGCCATTCCACATCTTTACACCCCGTAGCAGGCACCAACCTTTGCCCACTTTCCTACAGCAGTGCGCCCAGGCAGACAACTGCCCCGTCATGTCCAGCTCCTCCTCTCACCAGAACCCGCAGCCCCACACCTCCAGGCTCAACTCACGCTTTCTTCCGCTCAGACTTCTCCTTCTTGGCGGCTGCCTGCACCTCTGGCTGCCGAGTGGCCTGGTTCTTGCTGAGAAACAGCACATGCTGGGCCTCCTGCTCCATGCGTTGGATGTAGGCCACATCAGACTCTCCCTTCCTTTGCTTGAACTTGGGGACAATGATGTCTGGTTCCTCTCCATTTGCTTCCTTTTCCAGTGTCTTCTTGAAAGCCACCTGGGCTGAGGACAAAGGACACTCAGAGGAGGTGTAGGAGGAAGCTCAGGACAGAGTGGTCGGCGACAGGTAAACGTATGACCATTTCCCCTCCTACAGCCGCAAGAAAGGAAGACCAGGCTTAAGGACAAGCAGAGAAGATGGAAAACATTCAGTTCAGGGCAGCCCTACAGATGTGACCTCCCGGCCCACTGGCTCCTGTCAAAGATGTCCACTGCCAACACAGGCGAACAAAGAAACCAGAGTGTGCAGCACTCAGGAGGCAGGGGCAGGGGGATCCCTGTAGTTCAAAGCCACAATGGTGTACAGAGTGAGTTCCAGGACAGCCAAGACCGTTACACAGAGAAACCCTATCTCAAAAAAACCAAAGCCCAAACCAAAACACAACCTTTAATCCCAACACTCCAGAGGCAAGAGGCAGGAAGATGTCTCTGACTTTGAGGCTAGCCTGGCCTACCAAGTGAGTTCCAGGACAGCCAGGGTTACAACGAGAAACTGGACAAATAGCTCAGCCATTAAGAATAAGTACTCCTCAGGCTAGAGGGATGGCTCAGAGGTTAATATGACTGACTGGCTGCTCTTCCAGACGTCCGGAGTTCAATTCCCAGCACCCACATAGTGGCTCACAGCCATCTGTAGTGAGATCTGGTGCCCTCTTCTGACATGCAGGCAGAACACAATATACATAGTAAATTTAACACACACACACACACACACACACACACACACTCCTCAAGGACTTGGGTTTGGCTCCTCAGGAGCCACATTGGGCAGCACACGCCTGTAACTCCAGCTCCAGGAGATTCAACATCCTCTCCTGGTTTCCAATAGCAACTGCCTGCACATTCCTCCCGACCAGTCACGCTTACATATACATAACTAAAAGTAAAATCTCAAAAGTGCAGCGGTGAACTACAAAAGAGCCCTGCGCTGTCCTTCCCTCCCCAGTGCGCCTTCATGGTCTCCGCTCCTGCCTCCTTTTCCCCTGCCCCAAACACCTCTAAGGATTTGGGCAACTGTGCTGGCACCTAGCAAGCGCCGTACGTACATACCCTCCTTCTTTCTCTTCTTGTTACTCAGTGTCTTTTTCATCTCCTGACGGCTCCTCATAATCTCTCGGAGCCTGAAAGGAATTTCTTGCTCATCCTGGTTCTTGGGCTTGCAATCCACTTTCTTCTTTTCTTTTCTGGAAAGATAACCCAGGAGTGAGACCCTTCCCTACTACAACACAGCAGACACAAAATAAAGATCACGCCTGTAAGGAAGCGGTGCAGGGTCCTCTCCTCACCCTTGGACTGGGTTTTCTTGGCATGCAAAGGCAAAAGGCGCCACGAAAGCCCAAGCAGGCGGCAGCCTCACGAGAGACTTTTGAGACACTCAGCTCCGCGCATTCAACACATGGCTGAGCGTGCGCCTGGGCTGACTTAGGTAGGAAAGCTCCCAAATGGGTCCTCTCCCGGGGACCGCACCCACCTGCGCTGTCCCGGCCATGAAGCCGAGCGCTGCTGTCCCTGCGCCTGCTGCTGCCGTCGCGCGTGCGGCTGTCCGGAGCCTCTAATGCCCGCAGGCCTGACGGCCTCCTCGGCTGCGCGTCTCGGTCTTCCCATCGTTAACGTTACTCCAGGAGCTCCACGCACGAAGCCATTTCCGCCCTTTTGCAAGACCCCGCCCCGTGAGCATCACTTCCGCTTCCTGCGCTCCTCCCCTCCGCGTCTGCACCCGCGATGGGGATACTGCTGCAGAGCCTGTCCCGGGGAAGCCGGGTGGGAGCTGCGCTCTGCAGCTGGGCAAGTACTCGCGGGCGCAGTGGGCCACGGTGCCCTAGCCGGGATGCGGGAAGCCTTGCGCGCAGCCGGGATGTCCCAAGTCCGGGAGGCCAGCCAGCCCTTGGAGGCAGGCGTCACGGTCAGGTTTGGGCCCCAGACGAGTTAGTGGGCAAATACATTGCAAGAGAACCGGTTAGTGACCAGGGAACATCAGACTCGAGGGTCTTGAGGCGTTAGAGACGGAGAATGGGGTGGCCCGCTGTCCTTGGAGCTTCTCTCGTGAAGCGATGGAAGGAAGGACTCAGGCTTGGTCAGAGGAGGCGTGCTTAGTTAAAACTGGCTGATGAGGGTCAGCTGGCTCTGTGGCCTATCCCTCACCCTGCCCAGCGTCAGTCACCTATCTGGTCGTCTGATCTAGAGTTGTTCCCCGTGCAGTCGTTTGGAGTTGGGGCCCAGTGCCTGACACTAAACCGGGCCCTTAGCAAATTTCTCCTCCTACCAACCAACATGCCCATTTCACAGACAGGGAAACAACATACAGAAGTGAAATATAATAACTTGTCTACGGTCCTGCAGGAAGTGAGGAGGCCGAGAAGGATGTTGAGCCACTGGTCCAGGTCTAGGGAGGCTGAACACTGCTGGGTGCCTTACCAGCTTCCTGGAAGAGTCATACTGAGTATCCCATGTTCACAGAGGGCACAACAGTTCTCCGGCTGGGACTGCTGCCAGAGTCTTCCCCGGGGAAGACGCAGTGTTCTTCACAGACAGCATGCTTCAGTGCAAGCAGCTATTAGCTGCCGAAAGTTGGGGATGGACCACAGGGAGGAAGGTTTCCAAGCGGGTGCAGAGGATGCTGGGGAGCCAAAGGCCTCCCCACCGGAGAAAACCCTCATGAGACCCCTGTACTCTCCGTCACCCGATCTCCAGCCTCCCTCAAACTGCTGCATGAGTGGCTGTCCCAACTGTGTGTGGGTAGATTATGCAGAGACCCTGCTGAAGCACTACCAGGATGGTGGGCAGCAGGCCCTGGCCATCCTGGAGGAGCACATAACCGATGAGAACCTCAAGGCCTTCCTCAGAATGGAGATCCGGCTCCGCATGCAGAGTGGAGGCTGAGCCAGTTTACCTGGGAATCCTTGCCATGGGCAGAAGCGATCCCTAAGAAGCAGCAGGGGCTGCTTGAGTCTGGAAGCCCCCACATGTCTGCCAGGAATAGGAATTATTGTATAACAGCTTCACCTCAGAATAAATTCTCTGCGACAACCCAATTGTGTTGTGTTTTCTTGTCAAATAAAGTGTACATAGGCTGGCAGTGTGTCCCTGCTGAGCAGCCAGATTTCCTCACTGGTGAAGATGATCCAAATCCCCTGACTCCCTGAGTATCCCGTGACGGGAACATCTCCAGGCCCCAGCGTACCTGGGATGTCCTGCTGACCGTTTTCTGGTTCCCATCTGTGTGGTAAATGAGAACTATCATGCGGGAGGGGCCTAACTACTCCCTGTCTCCTCCTGGATCCTGGGGAAATGTTCTTTCTACCATGCAGTAGTATAGGGTCATCCATCCCTTAGAGCGGTGAGTACCGCTAGAAACCAAGGCAGTTAGGGCATCAAGCTCCAGAACCAGCTGTGAGGCACTAGCCGGGGCTGAACTTAAATGATCTTGAATGCATTTGTGCCACCTGCTTTGTTTAAGGGGAAAGCTGGGATTATAGAGTGACTTCCTGTTGGGTTTGAGCTGATAAATAGGGCCTTTTCCATATTTGGTGTCTTACACAGACCTGCGACAAATCTAAGGCCAGAGAGTAGGGGCACTTTGCTGGTAGGTGACAGGACACAGGTCAGGCTACAGATGATACCTGTCATCTGAAGTACTCAGCAGAGCTGGGGCACAGATAAATATGACAATGATTACACACCCACTAGGTCCCAGACGTGTGTGGCTATTTACCGTGGACTGAAACATGTCCTCCTGGAGACGGGTGGCGGTGGTGCACACCTTTGATCCCAGCACTTGGGAGGCAGAGGCAGGTGCATCTCTGAGTTCGAGGCCAGCCTAGTCTACAAGAGCAGAGTTCCAGTACAGCTTCCAAAGCCACACAGAAACCCTGTCTCAAAAAATCAAAACAAAACAAAAAACGTGTCCCCCCTGAAAAGAGGTTCAAAAACTAGTTGGTTTTTGAGACAGAGTTTCTCTGCCTTGGCTGTCCTGGAACACGAGGCCTCCCAAATGTTGGGATTAAACAATGTGCCATACTTGTGCATTGTTCACATATCCAGGAAATGTTAACACCAGTGGGTCCTACAAGAATCAGAATTTCCAGCATTTGACAATTGTGGCAAAGTCCAGTAAGGCCATGTGGCATGAGATGCCCTCAAAGAAGCCATTAGCCAGCCCTTTGCTGTAGGGCCAGACCTGCTTCTGGGTATATGCACTCAAGTTGTCAGACTCTGCCATACTGGCCTGCACCTGATCTTACCTCCATCAGCTTAAGCCCCAGGTACTTCCCACCATGCATCTGTGAGATGCCCCACAGTGGTTCACACACTAGCAGTATAACATGCCTCCTCCAGAGACAGGCAGATCTCCGTGAGTTCAAGCCAGCCTGGTCTATAGAGAGAAATGCTAGGAGAGGCTACACAGAGAAACTCTGTCTTGAAAAACCAAAATAAATACGTAGCGTGCCAACCCTTAGCACTTCAGTGTAGAAGACAAAGGTTAACACAAGAGTCGGGGGTGGCACGCGCTTGTAATTCCAGCACTTGGGGGCCAGACGGGGGACAGGGACATCAAGACTGTCCTTAGCTACATGACATTTGAGGCCAGCACGGAACTATACAAGACCATATCTTCTTCCTTTTTTTTTAATGGGGAAAGTTTTATTGGGGGAAGGCAAGGGGGTAGGGAAAGGGAAGGGAGAGAGGGGCAAAAACATGCCGGCCTGTTCAGAGGAAGCTTGGGAACGAGCATAAGACCAAATCTTTAAAAAGAAAAGAAAGACAAAAAGCCAGTTCTATCCAAACATACAAGTGAGCGTGGAGAAAAAAGCTGAGCTGAGAGAAGTATCCTACCCTCGGCCGGCGGAGGGGCCTCAGACACTAGGCCAGGGCTCTAGAGGACCCAGAGGAGGAAGCTAGAGGAAACAAGGTTTACACAGAGTAACAGATGCAATGAAAGGCCTCAGGGTTGGAATGCAAGAGGCAGGGCTGAAAGGCCAGGGGGGAAGATAGGGACTGCCACAGAGAGCGTCAAAGTCCACAGATGGTCCCTCCCTCCGTGGATGGGACAGAAAGGGAGGAGTAAGCCAAGCAAGAACTGTCTGGAAGGTGGCCCTGTTGTTTCTGGAGGTGTACTCCCACAGCTGGTGGAGATCATACTCTCCCTCCCCTTCGCGATCCCCTACTGGAACTAGATGTCCTGCCTTCAGGCCCCGACCACACCTAAACCCCTTCTGCCCACCCCCAGCATCCCGGTCAGTGGCTCCCTTAAAGCCCAGCAATCTCATTAGTGTATGGTTAGAGAAGAGAGACATAATCCGCTCACCAGGAGGAGGATAAATTCCTAGGCCACAGCTCTGCTGACCCAGATCAAGCCACCTGGCACCTGTGGCTCCCTGACACCTGTCCAGTGCTTGGTGAGTAGCAACCATTTGGTTGCCCTTTCTGACAGCCAGGTGTCTGCTCTTTCAGAATTGGGGTGGGATTGGGGAAGCCAACAGGTTTTTATGATCTTCGGAGCTTTGAGTCCCTGTCCCTCGGAGAGGACATCCTGCCGATCACCTCCCCTGCTTCTGCACAATGTCACATGGTAGTGCCTGTTACCAAGGCCAGCCACCTGATCGTACAACTGAATTGCACTAGCTTCAGGTCAGTCTGGGTTAGGCTTCTTAGGCATGGTTTCCATGGAGACAGCGCTGATCATTGGAGCTCTGTCGGGGGTCTCATGGCCTTTGGTTAGAGATGTGCTTTGCCACTGGGGAGTAAGGGGATGGGCACCTCAGGTCGGAGCAGCCTGAGTGTAGTCATTTAAAAAGCAGCATGAGAAAGATGCCACTCGACAGAGCTCACATGGAGGAGATTTTTATTAGGACAAAGGGAATGGGAAAGGGGGGGAGGGAGTGGGGAGGCCGGCCTCTGGGGACAGGAGCAGTGGGAAGACAAGCAGAGAAGCAGAGAGAGAGAGAGAGAGACAGACAGACAGACACAGAGTCAGAAAGATGGGAGGCGGGCAGGGCCCTTTTAGAAGGGAATGCATTGTGAATGTGCATAGGTGTTGCTCTTAGTGGCTGAAGCTGAGGATGTATCATGTTTGAACCCCAAGGCCAGGCCAGTACAGATGCCTGAATACTAACCCTGAGTCCTGGTCCTGAGGCTGGTGCTAGCTTCGGGGACAAAGAGTGGACCTAGGGGTAGGGGGAGCCGCTGAGATCGACTTGGAGTTGCCTACAATGCCTACAACAGACTCATCCTTGTCTGCTGACCAGTCTCAGCCCTTATGTTCCAACAGACCACTGACAGTGGCTTACGGCTGGATCAGCGATATAGCACACAGGGCCTTAGGGCAGAAAGGGGCCTCTTGGAGGTATTCCCTTGGACACCTAAGGGTAGGGCAGCCCCTCCTGTGTGGGTCACCTGTTTTCAGCAGCATGGGAGGTTTATGCAGCTTCCTAGAAACTCTGGGAGATTAGGAGTCTCCTTCAGGTGCTAATAGGATTGCAGAAAGCTGTGCTGTCCTTGGCAAAGTCACTGGGGCTTACAGCTCTTAGGGAGAGGAGGAGGGAACATCCTTTATAGTGTGTCCTAGGTTGTGGCCTGATACAGGGCAGCAGAGACCTCGGCCACACCAGAGCTATCAGGAGATGTCTAACCAACACCGATCTATAAGCCAGTGAGCTGATGAGCAGCCTAAAGGCAGAACCCCCGTGTAACTGCCCTCCCTGAGACCTGCTTCTGGCTTGGCCTTCTGAAACAGAGCCCAGAAAGTGAGGGTTACCCAGCATAACTGTTTGTGGTTCAAAGAAAAGCCCCTTCCTTAGGCCATCTGTGTTCCATTTTGTGGAGCATTATTTATCAGCACCACGGCCAAGGGAAAGATGATTAAAAACTAAAAGCAACAAGTACATAAATAAGAACAAGCATACTTAAAAGGGGCATGTAAATAAATGAGGAGTTTAGCCAGAATGTGATATGAAGAAACAAATCAGGACTGGGAATATAGAATGAGATGAGGTCGAGTCAGAGGAGGCTTTCCTGAGAAGGGGCCTCCCTGCAACCAGTGACAACATCCCAAGGCGGCAGATCACCTGGAAGAGATTGTAAAAGGCCGTGGGAGATGGGGTTTGCTGGATCAAGAGGGGGTGTCCTTTGTTTACCATCCCAGAAGTCCTGGGAAGGGTTTCCACAGGGTGACATGGCTGGACCAGATTCCAGTGTATGTATGAGAAGGAGGGAGGGCGCAGGAATCAAGGGTGTCCAAGGGGTGGTAGTAAAAATCCTGGTTTGTGCTGCGGCAGGGGCCAGCAAAAAGGGTGTGTTCCGTGTGAGTTAGGAGTATGGGATGGACACAAGGGAGTTCATGAGTCGCCTGTGGCTGTTAGCAGTGGGAGATGCCTGGTGGCACCTGGAGAAGAAAGAGAATATTGGAAAGCCGCGGCGGAGCTGGCGGGCCGTTCCCTGGAGTGGAGACAGCCGTCTCCTGGGTGCCAGGACCTCTGCTCCTAAGGTTGGAAGGGAGGGACAAGGGCTAATGGTCTGTCTGGTCTGCCCCAGCCTGCATGAGGAGTCCGGCCCAGTCTGACGGAGTCCAGAAGCAAAGGGTCACTGCAGCATCGTCTCTGCCACCCTCGCCATGAACCTGGAGCCACCCAAGGCCGAGATCCGATCAGCCACGCGGGTTATAGGAGGACCAGTTACACCCAGAAAAGGACCTCCTAAATTTAAGCAACGGCAAACCAGGCAGTTCAAGAGCAAGCCCCCCAAGAAAGGTGTCCAAGGGTAAGCAGACAGAAGAGAGGAGTCTTCCACAGATGGGACACTCTTCCCAGGCTCCATGGGAGGACAAGGTGGAGGCTGGGGTCGGGTCGTAGCCATGGCTCTTTGCAGTTTGTGCTCACTCTGATGACTGGGAACTCAGGCATTGTTTTTTTTTGGGGGGGGGAGAAACCAAGGGCCTATTATTTATACCAGGTGCTGAAGTCAGGCAGGTCTGGAAAGCAGACTTCCAGAATCTTCTCGGGGATGCGTGTGCGCCCCCACCACATTCACCTGTGCACACACACACAGACACCTACATGTGAACGCCTGCAGACATCACCTTAGTCAGTCTTCTGCTGGTATGACGAAATGACAGGACCCCAGTACTTTATGTAGAGAGGATTTGCTGCGCACACGGTTTTGGAGACTGAGAGTTGCAGGAGGGGTGGCCTCAACCATCTGGACTCTGGTAAAGACCCTGTGGCTATATCACAACCTAGAGGACGGAGCCATGGCAGGGATGCTATCAAAGGTGACATCATAGGTAGACAGAGAAAACAAGACCCCAGCACTCGGGAGGCAGGGGCGGGAGGATCTCTGTGAGTTCGAGGCCAGCCTGGTCTGCAGAGCTGCATAGAGAAACACTGTCTCGAAACCCAGAAAGCAGAGAGGAACCAGCCTTTCCCTTGCAGCCACCTCATCTGGGGAGTCGTAACCCTGTCCTGCGAGGACAGCATCAATCCACGGTCATGTTCCCCTTGTGATGCAATCACGCTCTACTTGAAACCCCCGTAAAGACCCACACCACCTCTCAGTACTGTTGCACACCAGAGACTAGTTCCCAGTATGTGTGCCTGCCAGGGACACACCACAGTTGGCACACCGAGACAGACCCACACGGCACCTTCACACTCACCCACACGCTCCATGCCACACTCCTGCAGACGCGCACACACATCCATACCCACCCAGGCAACTCGGCCCCTGTGTGCCTGGGCTCATTCTTCCTTTCCCGGCCCTCAGCCTGCGAATCTCTGCCAAGCACACTAGCCCCGTGTTGGTGGGAGGGAGCTCAGACCCTGCCCAGTAGCAGATGTGGGGGAGGAAGTCTGGTACATGCAGGGGTGGCTAGATCTAGACCTGGAGACATCATCCTTGACTGCTCTGTCCTTGCAGGTTTGGGGATGACATCCCTGGAATGGAAGGCCTGGGAACAGGTATGACGACTCAGGGTTGTTGCATCTGGACAGCCCTCCTAAGTCCCTTACGACCCTCAGACATACTCTCACAGGTCCCAGGTTCCTCTCTTTACTGCTTAGCCTGCCTCCCATCCTGTCCCTATTTCTCTCCCAACATCAGGCTTCAGAGAGGGGTTGTCCCCATGGGGTAGCTTCACTGGGTGCACAAGAAACTTCAGCTCCCAATCTGGTTCCTCTTTCCTCTCTACTGAAGGCAGGACCCAGTAGATAGACAGAGTTGATGCTTCCTTCCTAGGAGGAAGACTTGCAATCAGAGTGTGGACCCTCACCCTAGGCAGACATGGCTTTTGTGTGGGGACAGGGAATAGGGTGGTCCCAGGGCCACAGAGCCCCCTTTAATCACATTTTTTCCTACAGACATCACTGTCATCTGCCCTTGGGAGGCCTTCAACCACCTGGAGCTGCATGAGCTGGCCCAGTATGGCATCATTTAGTCAATCCCTGATATGTGAGGCCTATGGAAGGGGCCTGAGGAAGATCTACTCTACCCCACCACCCTCTGGAAGCCCTGTCCAGGACCCCTTCCCAAGCCCAAGCCTGAGTCTCTAGCTAAGTTGCCCCTGGACTCCAGGTAACAGCTACCAAGAGCCTACAGGCTCCCACAGGACACTCTGCTGACCTGTGGTCAGAAGAAAGAAGGTTGGGGAACCCGGCCCAACCTCCTGTCCTTCTTGTAGCTGGAAAGCAGGAATGGACTCCCCAGTAATGTTTCCCTGAACTGCCTTCTGTGGGTAAGAAAGTTCCTCTGCCCTGCAACCCTTCCAGATGGGTGTCTTGGGGTGGGACACTGTCCTGGGGTGATGTGTTGAGAGGCACTGAGGCTACTCCACCCATTATACCAGCCTTCCCAACATACTCTGTCCCTTGTCCCTCTTTCAGAATAAAGTTAGCCTGTCCTTGCTTATGCGAGGTGTGTCGATGGAGCCCTGCTGTGTCTGCACCATGGAGGAAGGTCCAGGGTGGGTGGGAGAGAAATAGGAAACTCCCACTGAGCACATACTCCACAGAGGCTTAGCTTAGAGGTGATGGACATAAGCCCGGTCCTGACTCACTCCTGGTGGCCATAGTTCATGAAGCAGACTCTCTAAGAAAGCAGGAAAGGACAAAAACTAGAAACGTAAGCACAGGCACCTAATGAGTAGCCCCATGGCCCAGCCGGTCCATCCTAAGACTGGGCTGACACCCACAGGTAACCTGAGGATTCGACACATAGAGGTAAGGCATATAGGCTTATACCTGGGCAAGCTCACCCCAAAGCACCCACAATACTTAGGGTGAACATGTAATCATCCCTTTGAATGGCCAGGAAGTGGGCTGGGTATTGTGGTGCATGTTTGTAATCCCAGCCTTGCCATCAGGAGCCAGGAAGGTGGAGGTCACTCTCCGCTCAATAGGGAGTTCAAGGTCAGCCTGCAACACATGAGGCTCTGTCTGAAAAAGAAAGAATAGAATAAGAAAGAAAAAGACTCCCCTTACTAGATGGCCACAGACTGATCATGCTAACTCTACAGATGAGTTAAAGCTGGGCTGCCCTCGGCCTGCATGTAGTTGGCCCTAGCTGGGAAACAAGGAATTTTGATTTGAGGAAGACAGTTCCAGCCAGTCATTGAGAGATCTGTAGTTTACTCTGCAAATATGAATCCACACACCAATAAACAAGTCTCCCTCCTACCTAAAAAAAAAAAAAAAAAAAAAAAAAAAAAAAAAGCATTCTACAGGATGTGGCCTCTGCCATACCTTACATCTCACTAAAGACCAGAAGGCAGGAGGCCCATGGGAAGCCAGTCCTGTGGAAACCAGGATCTAGAGCCAGCCAGGTTAAGTCAGATCAGGGTAGGTGGCTGAGGTTGGAAGCAGGAGCCCTCAGCCCTTTGCTCTTCCTACCAGTCTAGTGGGAAGCAGGTGTGCTCAGGTACAGACCACGGTAGCCTTTGCAAAAGACAGCCATGGGCTTAGATGGACCCTGAGAAATCGGGAGTGAAATGGTGGAATCGGGGCCGCACAGAGTCAGTCTATGTGGACCTTGGGGACTGACAGATGTAGCAAAGAGGCATTGGCCAGGAGTGGAGTCCGGGTGTCTGTTCCATGGGGAGTTACTCTGGCACCTTCCCTGGACGATGAGGAGAGGCCTGGAGCTTGGTCTGAACCAGGGGCTTCTCAGCTCTGCTGCCACTTCACAGAGGGCCGGGTTCTGTGTCCGCCCGCTGCCTTTTGGACAGCGAGGGCCCTTAGCAGGCAGGCAGCCAACAAGAGTTCAGTCCCTTGGATCACGACAACAGTGATGGCACAGCCGCCTATGGTCTGCATGTTCCCTCGAAGCCACTGTCGTAGCACAGGCCAGCAGCCCTGCAAGTATACTACTTGTCCCGCTGCATCCGGGTCCAGGTGCAACACCCCAGAGCCACACTGAGTGTTCACCAAAGCTCCTTCTTCCTGGGGGTTGATGCAGCAGGAGGCAGGAAGGCCGCAGGCTTGTACCCCAGGAGAGCTGCAGTTAAAGTACCTGCAGGGCACAGAAGGTTTAATCCTGGAAAGGGGGCCTGCCTTTAAACTCTCTCTCTCTCTCTCTCTCTCTCGCTCTCTCGCTCTCACACACACACACACACACACACTTGTTTGCAATCACAGGAAGGGGCGCATGCATACACATGCAATCACACAAACTTCCCTGCAGGACCCTCAGGTTATTTTGTTTTGTTTTGTTTTGAGACAGGGTCTTCTCTGTACCTGTGGAGGCTGTCCTGGACCTCACTCTGTAGACCAGGCTGGTCTTGAACTCACAGAGTTCTACTTGCCTCTGCCTCCCGAATGCTGGGATTATAGGTATGCGCCACCAATGCCCTGCTTAACACTTTTTATTATTATTACAGTGCTTACACCCCTCTATACCTTCGGACAGGGGTTGTGGGTGTAGTGGGGTGTCTATCTCGGCAGGCATGGAAATATTTAGGGAAGTTGTTGAAGGGAGAGGTGGTAGGGAGACCTCGCCTCATCCACGCTGTGAGTCTGAGTAGGCAGTGTCAGAGAGGAAGCTGCAGTAAGAAGAGGTGTTGACAGGCAGCAGCAAGAGGCTCAGAACTCTGAGGAGGCGGCTTTCCACAGGTCTAGACTTCACTCACCATGCCCTGACAGCCACCAACAGAGTGTACTCTTTATGACCAGAATCTCCCAGTAACCAGGGGGTGCGCTGCAGGGTTCCAGAAGACACAGTGTATTACAGCTACGTTAGGAGCGAATGGCCAGTTTTTAGAGCCTCTTCTGCCTCCATCCCTCGATATCAACTGTCCTCAGAGGCTTGAGGAGGGAGCATAATGTTTATCCTGCGTGTGTCCAGGCAGGAAGGTGCTGCTCAGGGTGTTTGTGCATTGGAGGATGTAGACAGAACAGGGACAAAACAGAACATAAAATATTGTGTCATGCCTAAATTGGAAGTTTAATCACACTCACGGGAACACACATACATACAGTCCTGTGGAGTCATAGATGGATGACCTGAGCTAACCTAAGGTATTTTGCTTGACACCGAGATGTCCAGAGATTTAAAAAAAAAAAAAAATTACTTTCCTGGTGTCTTCTGGCTTGGCCTCTTTGTTAGAACCCCATAACGGAGGGATAGCATGGAGAAGCTGGGTCTGGGCCCTAGAGTTGGCCAAAAGTTGAGCTCATTCAGGTTCAAGGCCCGTGGCATAGGCAGAGGCAAGTGCCACACACCACATGAGTAAGTGTACACATTTGCATGTCCGTCTGTATATACGTGATGTATGTGTGCGCCTTCCTATGAGACTTTATTCTGTGTTTACATACGAGTGTATGCACACAAGGAAACTTGTGTACTGGCGTGTGGGAGCAGGAGCGCAAGGCATGCGGTTGTGTGTGTACACGGGAACACGCACATATATGTGCATGCATGCTTAAATGGATGAGCGAGTCTCTTGCCCACGTCGAGCGAGTATGGGGTACACTCACAGATTCTGTTGCCAGTCCTGGTAGGAAACTGCCCCACAGCATTGCAGCCCCAGCTGGACTTGGTCGAGGAGGAAGCGTAGGTCTGGATCGTCCCCGTAGTGGATGACGGCCACATGCAGGGAATACTTCAGGCCATCCTGCAGTGGGCCCCAGAGGGCCACCACCAGGGTCCCTGCCAGGGTTTCCAGTGCCAGGCAGATGAGGACAGCTCCACTGTAGAAGTGCAGTAGGCATCTGTTCTCACACAGAGCACCCAGACATCCAGACAGGCTCACGACACTGACCACTAGGCCTCCCAGCGCTAGGGCCAACATGGGATCTGTCGGCAGGGCTCCACCCCAGCCACTCTCTGGAGACCTTTTGACAGCCAGACCCCAGAGCCCTGTCGCCAGGGCCAAGAGGGCCAGCAAGGAGAAGAAGAAGTTGGAGAGGAAAGTCAGATACTTGACACAGCTACCTCCCGTGGAAAGTGGGAGAGAGGACACCTGGCCTTCCCTCCAGGCCTGGTGCTTTGCGCCAGGACAGCATCTGCAGCCCCAGGCCCTTCCCTGACCCTTCCAGAGTGCTGGACCTGGGATGTTTGAAATAGGTGGACAGGTCCTGGTGAGTGGCGGCTCCTGGCCAGCAGTACCCTGCAGGAGGAAAGGAATGCATTGGTGAGCCCTCAGTCACTCAGACTCTGTGACATCCAGCAGGGTGAGGTCTCACTGAAGAGGAGCTAAGAACATGGGGCGGGCTTGGAGGAAGCTTGTGGGAGTTGTGGGAGGAAGCAAAGACTTGAAGAATTGGATACTGAGGGGCCTGGGAACTTGTGGCCTCATTCTGCTTAGGCAAGGGTTAGAAGGGCAGTAAGGACTCCTGGCTCACTGTCTGCCTGGGTAGCAATGAGGCCAACCTCCTTTAGGACACCCTGTCGGCACCCTGGAAGGGTTAGGGTAAAGACTGGGCAGGACAGGAATAGCGGCAGGTGGGTCTGCTTCCCCTGCGTTTGGAATGGTCTCTCTGTTTGAATCAGTCTGCAGTGACCCAGAAGTTACTTTGTGCAGTCACAGGAGGGACTTTCCCACCCAAGCCAGAAGTGCAGGCTGCCCGGGACAGAGAAGCTGACCCTGTGACAGCCCGCCGCCCCCACCTTCCTCTGTGAAACCGACCTCGATTTCTCTGCACCATCTCAGACCCATCAATTGAGCCTAGGCCAGGTATGGACACTATGCTGGATCTAGTGTGGAGGGTACAGGGATGGATCGTCCAGGTCCTGCCTGCCTGGCTTCTGAGCAGGGAGAGGGGCAGCCAGTCCAGAGGAGGCAAGGGAAACATACCCCTCAGGGGCAGCTCAGATGAGCAGGTAGAGGTCCTCTTCAGGGAGGTGGAGAAATCCCACTCACACCTGGCTTCTCCCTCCCTCCCTCTCTCCCTCCCTCCCTCCCTTCTGTCTATCTCTCCCTCTCTTCCTTTCCTCCCTCCCCTCCTCCCTTCCTTCCCTCTCTCTCTTCCTTCCTTCCTTTCTCTTTTCTTTTTCTTTGTTTCCTGAGACAGGGTTTCTCTGTGTAGCCTTGGCTGTCCTGGAACTCACTCTGTAGACCAGGCTGGCCTTGACCTCACATAGATCCCGCCTGCCTCTGCCTCCCGAGTGCTGGGTTTAAAGATGTGTCCCATCATAGCCCTGCCACCACCTGCTTTTCCCAATGACAGTTTCGCTTGGAAGAGACTACAACCAGGTGTCTGGGCAAGGGTCCCAGTCCATCTCAGTCCGTCCCACCAGGAAGAAGCTGTCCCTTCCACCTGTGATAGTCTAATCCAGCCGCACGAAAGACTCCGAGTTTGGAGCAGAATACGTACAGGTTATTTGTCAGCCAGAGTCTGTCAGAGCAAAAGGACAGTCTGCCAGAGCCCACGTGGCAGTATTAATACTGTTTGAGGCCATTGAGTCCACCTTCAACTACAAAAGACATTTGCCATTTCCTGCTCCTGAGGCCAATGCCAGAGTTTCTTTCAGACCCCCTGAAGTCTGAGACCCTCTGAAGCTAGCACCCAAGTATGGCCATCTGATTAGTGAAGCCCCACCCTAATCTGTGAGGACCACTCACTGGCATCCATTTAATGACAAATCCCAGCACACAAATAGCCTGGGGGTGGGGAAGGGCCAGGGGGTCTGGCTGACTATAACCCAGTCCAGGGGCCGCCTGGAGGACCTTAGGGCCAAGAAACATCTTCAGCCTGAACTAGGCCATTATTAGATGCTGGCTCACCTGAGACAGCAAGGGGCTGTTTTCTCCCTCTTCCATCCTCCACATGAGTTGAAGAAGCCACAGAGACAGGTGGCCCCGGGCCTCTCTGGACAGGTTATAATCCTGGTGTTAGTAGTGTTCCTTGGCTGTTCTGGCTTGCACCTCAGAGCTGGAGAGCTGCAAGCTCCACCCATACAGCAATCATAGTGAAATCATGTGAAGAGTCACATTTTAGGGCTTAAGGCTTCTGCAACGTGGCTGGTCTTTTTCTTAGCCCCTAATTCTTGGCCTTGGCTCTAGGGATGCCCCTAACATCTGCACAGCCGTGACTTTGGTAAGGTGGCTCTGAAGCCTGCCTCATTGCCATCACTGTTAAGCCCTACTTTTGCCTCAGCCTGGTGGGCTCATTTTCTATTCTATTAGCAACCCAAAAAAACAGATCTCTGCAAATGTGTTGACAATGCAGTCTCCCAGGACCAGGAGCCTATTGGGCAACACAAGTGCCAATTTACCCCCTAGTTTACCCAGTGTTAAAACAAATCAGTATTCACATTCCAGATGTCCCCTCCCCACTAACTTCTCAGAAGCAGGATTTTGGTTGGTTTTTTTGTTTGTTTGTTTTTCGAGACAGGGTTTCTCTGTGGTTTTGGACCCTGTCCTGGAACTAGCTAGCTCTACTGTAGACCAGGCTGGTCTGGAACTCACAGAGATCCGCCTGCCTCTGGGATTAAAGGTGTGCACCACCAACACCAGGCAAGAAGCAGGATTTTGTTATGGTCACCGTGCAGCCCCCGTGGCTAAATGACTTGAGACATGCAACTTATTATGGAGACAGAAGTCGTGTTCAAAGCCCTCTACCAAACACCAACAACTCTGTGTGGCCTTGGATGCATCTCTCCACAGGTCTCCCTGCTTCTGACTGGAATGTGTGTGAGATGCGGATATGTTTGTCAGTGTCATTGTAGGCACACAGGACTTTCATGGATGTCATCCACATGTTTAGGGCAAGAGAAAGGTCCTGCTGCGTCTGTCACATGCCACCACCCCAGAGCCCCTGAGTTTCAGCTTTTTTAAAAAATTGTTTATGTATGGGTGTTTTGCTTACATCTGTGTCTGTGTGCCACCTTCAGAGGCCAGAAGAGGCTTCACATCTGGAACTAGAGTTATAGACAGCTGTGAGCTGCCTGCCATGTGGGTCCTGGGAATTGAACCGAGTTTCAGCCTTTGATGGACATTCCAGGTCCTGCCTCGGCTTCTGCCTTATCTACCATTTCTCTGGCTTTTAATTTTATAATTCAGACAAATTTGCTGGCCTCACATGGCCCGGCACCTGTGTGTCCTGGCCTTTGCCTCCACTGCATCATCACCGCTGCCTGGAAACTTCCAGTATCTTCCATCAGCAGCAGCAAATGCCTTTTTTTTTTCTTCTCCCCAGTCCTGGGGTTGAGGGTGGAATCCAGGACCTCACAGAGCTATATCCTTACTGGTATCTGCCAGCTTCAGACTACCTCTTCCATCCAGGCTTCCACTATGGACCAGGGCACGGCAGCCTGACACGCTATGAACCCTCTTATATAAAATGTTCTCCATTAGGCCAGGCGTCGATGGTGCACGCCTTTAACCCTAGCACTCGGGAGGCAGGGACAGATGGATCTCTGTGAGTGCCTGGCCAGCCTGGTCTACAGAGCAAGTTCCGGGAGAGGCTGTAAAGCTACATAGAGGAGAAAAAAAAATGTTCTCAATTGGATTAGGTTTGTAGCTTAGTGGGAGAGCGCTTGCTTACTACCTGTCCTGGAACTCACTCTGTAGACCAGGCTGGTCTCGAACTCACAGAGAGATCCGCCTGCCTCTGCCTCCCCAGTGCTGGGGTTAAAGGCATGTGCCACCAACGCCCGGCTAAGGCTCTGGATTCTTATTCTTTTCACAGCATTGAAGAAAAGGGAGGAGGAGGAGGAAGGGGAAGAATCGAGGAATAGAGTTCTGACACATACCACAACAAATATGAACCTTGAAAACAGTATGCAAAATGATATTAGCCAGATATGAAAGCCACATTTTTGTTTTTGTTGTTGTTTTTCAAGATAAGGTTTCTCTGTGTAGCCTTGGCTCTCCTGGAACTTGGTCTGCAGACCAGGCTGGCCTCGTGTGTGTTCATCATTAATTGCCACCTGAGATTACATATCTGCAAGTTGATCTGCCTAATGGGGCAAGGGCACCAAGGAGGAGCCTATGTCCTTTCTACTCTACTCAAGTTAGCACGCAGTAAAATTTGTTGCTGGAATGAATAAGTCAAAATTTAATTAACAGAGGCTAAAGATAAAGATACTTGTTATCAGCACCAACATTGCCAGTGGTGATGGATTCAATGAAATTAAGAGGAGGGGAACCAGATGTGGCGGTTCAGGAAGCAGAGGTAGGAGGATTTCAAACTTGAAACCAGCTTGGGCTACATGAGACCCTGACTGAAAATGGACTTTGGATGTGGACGGCTTGGTAGAATGCTCTCCTGCCACGCATGGCATGAAGCCCTGGGTTTTACCCCAGCATCTGTAAGACGGGGTATAATGGCGCACTCCTGTAACCCCAGCACTAGGGCATAGGGACAAGAGAATAAAAAGTTCCAGGTGAGGGCTGGAGAGAAGGCTCAACACTTGGGAGAGTATTCGGTGTTCTTCTAGAGGACTCGAGTTTGGCTCCCAGCACTCACATGGTGGGCCTCAATCAGCTGAAGCTCCAGTTCCAAGGGATCCATTCCCTCTTCTGCCTTTCTCGGCACCAGGCACGGACGTGGTTCGGCATTCATACACGGTAGGCAAAACAGCCATACACACAAAACACATAAAACCTTTAAAAAAAAAAATTCTTTTTAAAACGTCTAGTGAGGTGAGTTGGCACATGTCTTCAATCCCAGCACTTGGTAGGCAGAAGCAGGTGGATCTCTGTGAGTTCGAGACCAGCCTGGTCTACAAAGAGAGTTCCAGGACAGCTAGGGCTCCGCAAAAACAAACTACTCGAAAAACAAAAAACAAACAAAAGGTGGGCTTTTAGCCTCTTAAAAGATTTCCATAACGCCCGCTCCTTCAAATCTTCCGCATGAAGTTACAAAGGACGTGCAAACGAAACTCCATCTCAAAGCTGGAAGACTGTGACGACGGTACAGAACTCCCCTCAAGGGCCTGGTTCTCTTCCCGGGGCTTTTCTGTCTTGTTTTTGCCATCTTCTGGGTCAGCTGCAGAGCCTCGGAGGCCCGGCCCAGATGCGACGCGGATGGGCGGGGCCGAGGTGCGCGCAGCTCCTCTTGCGCATGCGCGCGGCCGTTGGCGGGGCCGGAACCTTGTTTCTCCTCTGTGTTCGCCCGGCGGAGTGCGTTGAGCGAAGCACTGGACGTCGGCGGCTGGCGGAGCCGGGCGGCGAAGCTGGAGCGGAGGTGGCGGCGGCGGCGGGAGGCCGGGGCCGGGACTGAGGCCGAGGCCGCGACTGCGAGGCCTTTGGGGAGGCAGACGGCGGCAGCCCGGGGCCCCAACCCGGAGATAGGAGCGGCCGCCATGGCCGAGAGCATCGTGAGTGCGGCGGCCGGGAGGGAGCGGGGGCCCGGGATGAGGCAGCAGATTTGCCGGCGTCCTGGGCGGGCCCGCGAGAGACGGTGCTCGGCGCCAGCGGCTCCTCCTCACTAGCCCTGGGTTTGCGGAGGAACCTGCCTCAGCAGGGCCTGGAGAGGCCGGCGGGGCGGGGGAGAGGCCGAGCGGGCCGAGTGGAGCGGCCTCGCTCCTCCGTGCTGCCGCAGGTTGCTCCGAGGGACCCCTGCCTCCCTCCCAGGCCCCGAAGCCGGTTACGTCCTTTCCTCCTGTCCGTAGGGCTTTCTCCTCCCCCATCCCAGCAGTGCCTCGTCATGATTTCACTCCGGAAGAGTCGTCGGGAGAAGGGCATCATTAGGGAACCCCTTCCCCACAGGAGAAGTGTCCAGGGGGGCAGACAGCAACCTGCCGGGACTGGCTCCTGCCTACCCGTTTAAAAGGAGTGTAATAAAGAAGGCTGGTTTCACTTCAGCCTGACAGTAGAGATCGTCACCCCTCCCCCCACCCCCACCCCCACCCCCACCCCCACCCCCGTGAACTATAACAGGGAAACCAGTGGATAGCCGTTAGTTAACCTGTGGGGGCTTTTCACCAAAGTAAACGTGGCAGGGGTTGGGGAAACCGTGTGAGCAACAGGCCGGTCTGAAGGAAGAATTGTGGTCGACGTTGAGGGGTGTTTGAGTATGTGGGAGATCGGAACCATGTTGGGTGCTTTAGGCCTAGCACAGCTCTGCCTGCAATAATCCTTTCTGGATTCCATGGGTTTCCAGGGAAGCCCAGCTCTTGAGGCGTTTTGTTTTGTTTCTTGAGACAGTCTTAACTAGTTGATCCCACACCTTGACATCTTCTACCACAGATTCCTCATACTGGGATTGCAGACAGGGACTATCACCCCAGTGGGTTAAGAGTTAAGGCTTTTCTTTCCCCGCGGCTCCTCCGTTTAGGGCTCTTCTGTTCTCTGGAGAGATGTGTAGAGAAACTTAAGTTTACTATCCTAGATGACTTGCCTAGAAATAGATCTTTAGCCAGGTAGAGCAATTTGTTCAGGTTTTCCAAAGGCTCTTGTGGGCACCAGTGGTTCTTAAATTAACTTTCTCAGATTGTGAGGAATTAATAAACTCTTCTGAAGTCGACTTCGGAAGTTTTACTTTGAAGATTTATGTATTTATGTGTATGGGTGCTTTGCCTGTGTATATGTGTACCATTTGGATGGCTGGTTCCCAAAAAGGCCAGAATAGGCATTGATTGGATTCCCCAGGAACTGAGAGTTATAGGTGGTTGTGAGCCACCATGTGGGTGCTGAGAACTGAACTCAGATCCTCTGGAAAAGCAGCCAGTGTGCTTAACCTCTGAGTCATCTCTCCAGCCCTGTAAGTAGTGCTCATAATGGCTGAGCTATCTCACCAGCCCCATTTTAAAAAGTTATATGTATATGTGTGCCCATGTGCAGGTGAGTGTAATTGTTGCAAGAGCAGTAAGTGCTCTTACCTGCTGAGCCATCTCTCTAATGCTGTTTTTTTTTTTTTCTTAAGATTTATTTACTTATTGCACATACAGTGTTCTGCCTGCATGTGTGCCTGCAGGCCAGAAGAGGGCACCAGGTCTCATTACAGATGGTTGTGAACCACCATGTGGTTGCTGGGAATTGAACTCAGGACCTCTGGAAGAGCAGCCAGTGCTCTGAACCTCTGAGCCATCTTTCCTGTCTGCCCTGCTTGTTTTTAATTCAAAAGGAGGTCCTTAAAGAATTTCTGTGGTGATAATGCAACAATTCTTCTGAGAAATTCCTTCCCACTTTCCTTCCCTCCCTCCCTCCCTCCCTCCCTCCCTCCCTCCCTCCCTCCCTCCCTCCCTCCCTCCCTCTCTCCCTCCCTCCCCTGACCAAGTTGTAGCTATGTCCAGGCAGTCTTCTGTCTCCAGTGCACAAGCCTTCCTCCTTAGCTTCCCAAATAACTGGTGCTACTGGTGCTTGTGCCCTCACATCTAAGTATTCAGAATCTGTGCTCTGTGTGACCCAACCTGTCTGCTCCATATCTTTTCTCTTGCAGCCTATGTCAGAGGTTAAGCCAACACTTCCTCAGTACAAGTTTGTTTCTTGTTAAATCCAGACTCCTTTGCCATGTGTAGATTAGGTTTTGACTTGCACTGTGGAATTCTTTGGTAAGCTAAGTGTTGTGATCATATGCCTGTAATTCCAGGACTTGGGAAGGCTAGGCAATAGGCAAGGAGGATAGAGGGTTTGAATCCAGTTTGCTCTGCATAGTTTGTACAACCAAACAAAAAAGCAACCAAACAAAAGGATTCTTCCTGTGTCTTCTTTAGTCACACCTATGACAGGCTCCTATTCTTGCGTGATTGGATGAAGGAACATTGTAGAGCCTCCAGAGAAGCAGAAATCTTCACTGTTTGACATGTCTCAGTGTTGAAGACAGACTGAAGGATGAAATATGTGCAGAGAGTTTCCTTACCTTTATAAAGATGTTCTTCCTAGATATCAGGTCCCAAGTGAAGAGTGCACATAACACAGATGAGTGAGCAGGGTGAGGAAAGGAGACAGATGTGGTTAATAAGCAGTTGTGAACACACTTTTATGCCCCCTAACAATCAGGATATTCATTGGGATTATCCAGAACAAAATCTAAGTGTTAAACATACAGGACAAAGTCAAGTGAAAGTCACTAAAAATTGAGAGACATGATTATGCTATTTTAGAAAACCGACATTATTCTTAGTCTGATGAAAGTAGACAAAATTCAGTTGACTGGAAGCCATTGTGGAGTTCTGCAGTATGTCAGGAGAAATCTTTAAACAATGCCTTGTCAGAGTTTTCATTTGCAAAAGCATTTTCTGTATATTGCCTCATTACTGACTGCTGGAGTAGGAAGTACAACAGAGGCGTTTCCTGAGGTTTGTGTCTTCCCGCTCAGTCCTCGGTCAACAGGTGCTTAGTTTATAGGGCATGTCAGCTAAGGCTAGTGCAGTGAGTGTCATGTTCTCAGAAGGCTTGGATCAGTGTGGAAATCAAGGCCTAGAAGCTGGCCCATATTTAGGAGTCTTGAAGGGCGGCCAACATTTTTAGCTTTGCCTTGCCATGGAAATACATTTTGTTAAAACCCTGCCTAGAAATCAGACTATTAATAATATAGTTTACCATGGTATTATTTTACTTTTAAACTAGTTTGTCTTAGTTTTATGTTTACATATGTGTTTTGTGTGTGTGCTTGTGTGAATTTATGTGCACCACAATCTCGCAGGATCCTGTGGAGCAGAAGTGTGCATTGCATTTCATCCCCTGGAACTGGGTTAGACACAGTTGAGAGCTGCCATGTAGGTGCTGGGAATTGAACCCGATCTTCTGTAAGCACAGCTATTGCTCTTAGGGCTAAGCCATCTTTCCAGCGTGTTTTTTTTTTTTTTTTTTTTAAGATGGTTCCATGAGATGCCCTCTTTTGACCTTGAAGGGCAGTACATGCATGAGGTGCACACACATACACACAGGTAAAACACCTGTACATGTAAAATTAAAAAAAAAAAATCTGTCTTAAGATGGCGTCATGTCACCCAGGCTGGCCTCTCTGTTGCACTTGTTTGGGATTACAGGTATCCCCACCATGTTTAGCCTTGAAGTTGTGTGTTCTGCATGAAACTGTAAGGTGTTTGAATTGGAATGGTGCTCTAGGCCATCTTTCCTGTGTTGATGTCCCTCACCTCTCGTTTCCCCGTAAGCAAAATGGAGTTGGGGATCGAGAGGGGGAAGATTGAGATTGGGAGACCCTTTAGTGGGTAAAGGGTTTGCTATGCAAGCATGAGGACCTGAGTTTGTATCCCCAGCACCCGTGGAAAAGCTGGATACAGTGGTGTACATCTGCAACTCTAGCACTGCAGAAAGTGGAGATGGGTGAGCCCAGCTGCTTGCTGGTCAGCCAGCGTAGCTGAAATGGCGAGCTCCAGGTTCAGTCAGTCCTGTCCCCCAGAAACTAGGTGGAGAGCAGGGTGTGTACAAGGGAGTGCGCCTGCACACACAGAAAGGCGGGGGAGAGTGGCTTTCACCTCTCAGTCTCAACAGTCAGTCTTATCCAATGGAGGCTTCACTGGGTACAGTAACCTTACTTTGTTTACAATAGATAATCCGTGTCCAATCCCCAGATGGAGTGAAGCGGATCACAACAACAAAGAGAGAAACAGCTGCAACCTTTTTGAAAAAGGTACCTGTGGCGTGTCTTGGGGGCCTGTTCCCTTCAGTATTCCTGTCTGTGCCTTTCTCATTTCTTACTCCTGCTACCAAGTTGTCACTTATGTGGCTTTTTCTCTGTATGATTGAACTGGATGCCTGCTGGATCATTGTGCTACGGAGCGGGCCACGGGTGGGGAGGGAGAGACGGAGATGGGGCAGGCAGAGAAAGATAAGTCTTACTCTGTAGGCTGACCTTGGACTCTAAGCAATTCTCCTGCCTCAGCTTCCTGAGTGCTGTTGGGAATTTAGGTATGAGTCACCATGCTGACTCTAGATCAGATGTTCGTCACAATTCTCTCTGCCAGACCATGGGTAGATAGATGTCAGAGTACTTTGCAAGAGGATTTTTTTTTTTTTTTTTGGAGACTGGGTTTTTCTGTGTAACAGTCCTGGTTGTCCTGGAACTCATGTTCTAGCCCAGGCTGGCCTTGAACTCACAGAGATCCACCTGCCTCTGCCTCCCAAGTGCTGGGACTATAGTTGTGCGCCACCACGCCACTGCCTGGCTTTCCTGTTCGTGTGTTTTGTGTTTACTTTTTTAACTAGCCAGTGTTGTGGGTGTGGTTTGCATTTGGGTGCTGGGTGCTCTTCTTCTCTTCAGTTACACATTTATTTTTATTCCATATCAAGTTTCTTATGTACTTGCATTGCTGTCAAACATGTCTACAGAATGTTTTCATTGTACACTTCTGAAATCCATCCCCACCTTGAGTAACAGCTTCCCTGTTTTGCTCACTG